CCTTGGTTTCCCAGTGGACTCTGCTGATTGGTCCTTTTACCACCCTCCCCTCCACCAGTTCCTAGATTCCCGTGACGTCCGGTTTGACGAGTCCGTGTCCTACTACACCCGGTACCCCTGTCGAGGTCTCCCGGTACCCCCTCCCCCTCTCTTCCTCGCACCCTCTCCTCCTCCTGCTCTCGCTCCTCCGGTACCCCCGCCCCCCCCTGGTCCTGCCCCGTCTGGTGTGTCCCACGCTACCCCTCTCCCCTCGGTCGCGCGTCAGGTAGCGTCTCCCTCCCCGCAGTCCTCCTCACAGTCCCCTCAGCAGCCTTCGGCACTTCCGCGACAGGTTACTGTGGACTCGGTTGGTGTTGGAGCTGGAGGTGCAGCCGCTGGCGGTGCTCGGTCTGGGGGTGCTCGGTCGCGGGGTACTGGAGCTGGAGGTGCTGGCGCAGGTGACGCTAGCTCTGGGGGTGCTGGAGCTGGAGGTGCTGGCGCAGGTGGCGCTAGCTCTGGGGGTGCTGGAGCTGGAGGTGCCGGCACTGGAGGTGCTGGTTCTGGGGGTGCTGGAGTTGGGGGTGCTGGCACTAGCGGTGCTAGTTCTGGGGGTGCTGGAGTTGGAGGTCCTAGCACTGGCGGTACTAGTTCTGGGGGTGCTGAGTCTGAGGAGACTGACGCTGGAGACCCTGGTTCTGCGGAGTCCACCCCGCCCCCCCACCGCCACGACACGCGTCTCCAGGCTGCCCGTCGGCGTGAGCGTGAGGAGCAGGAGCGGTTGGAGAGGGAGCGGCAGGAGCTGCGGGTGCTGGACCTTCTGGAGCAGCAGCGGCAGCAGCAGCAGCAGCAGCAGCAGCAGCAGCAGCAGCAGCAGCAGCAGCAGCAGCAGCAGCAGCAGCCGCAGCCGCAGCCGCAGCCACAGCCGCAGCAGCAGCAGCAGCCGCAGCCGCAGCCGCAGCGGCCGCAGCCGCCACCGCAGCTTCCTCTAGAGCGGCGGTTGTTCCCACCTGTGAGTGGCTTGCGGGCCCTTGGCCTTTCCTCCTCTCCTCCTGTCCGCTCCCAGTCTCCTCCTGTGTTTGTTCCTCCGTTGCCTCCTCCTGACGACCGTCCGGCGGTCTGGTCTTCTCCTCCTCCTCAGTCTCCTCCTCCCTCTGTCCGTCGCGACTTGATCACTCGTTGTCCTCCGCGTGCTCGTCACTCGTCCCCTGTTACTGACCTCCACACTGCCCTCCTTTGTTCGTCTCGTCGTCGTTCTCCTTCTCCTGTGTCCGTTCTCCCGTCTCCTCCTCCGTCCTCTCTACCTGCCCTCCCCACTCCTATCTCTGACTACTACCGCGCTGTTCGTCCTGTTGCCGCACGTGTCCTCACCACTCTTGTCACCGACCCTCGTTTCCCTCCGTCGTCTGTCTCGGCTCTCACTGCCGCTGTCGCTGAGTTTGCTGCCGCCAGCCGCCTTGACTTCGCCACCCGTGTGGTGCCAGCTCCTCCCTACCGTTTTCTGTCCGTCGGGGGTGGGTTTGCCCTTGGCTGTGACGTCCTAGAGGACAGAGAGTCTGAGCTGGAGTACTGGGCAGCCGCTTCTCCCTCTGTGTGTGCCATGCTGCTCTCCCCTGAGGGAGACCCCGACGCCCTTGACATACCGACTCCTCGCACTTACCGCGAGGCAGTGTCAGGGGCGTGGGCCTCTCAGTGGAAAGCGGCTATGGACTCAGAGTTGGCGTCTTGGAGATCCACAGGCACCTACGTCGACGCAGTTCCCCCTCCCAGGGCGAACGTAGTCGATGGCATGTGGCTCTTCAAGGTGAAGCGGCCGCCTGGAGCACCGCCGGTGTTCAAGGCGCGCTACGTGGCTAGGGGTTTCAGTCAGCGTGAGGGAGTTGACTTCTTCCAGACCTTCGCCCCGACCCCGAAGATGACTACTCTTCGGGTGTTACTCCACATAGCAGCGCAGCGAGACTACGAGCTGCACTCCCTCGACTTCTCCACTGCGTTCCTCCAGGGCCGACTGCACGAGGAGATCTGGCTGCGCCGTCCTCCTGGCTTCACTGACACCTTCCCACCTGGGACCCAGTGGAGCCTGAGGCGACCAGTCTACGGTCTCCGCCAGTCGCCCCGTGAGTGGCACGACACTCTTCGCTCCACGCTTTGTGACCTTGGGTTCAGCCCGTCCTCCGCCGACCCGTCGCTGTTTGTTCGAGCGGGTTCTACTCCTTTCTTTATCCTTGTCTACGTCGACGACTTGGTGTTTGCTACAGCAGACAGGGCAGCCCTGGCTCAGGTGAAGTCCGAACTGCAGAAGAGACACAAGTGCACTGACCTGGGTGAGCTGCAGCGCTACCTTGGCCTGCAGATCACCCGGGACAGAGCCGCTCGCACCATCACACTGACGCAGTCACACATGGTGCAGCAGGTCCTTCGGCGGTTCCACTTCCAGTTCTCCACCACACAGCCCACTCCTCTTGCTGTTGACCACAGACTCACGGGCCCCTTTCCTGACGAGCCCTTTGAGTCCAGTGGACCCTACGCAGAGCTGGTGGGCTGCCTCATGTACCTGATGACTTGTACTCGACCGGACCTCGCCTTTCCACTCAGCATCCTTTCTCGCTTTGTTGCGACTGGGAGACACCGCCCTGTCCACTGGACAGCTGCTGTGAGGGTGGCGAAGTACCTGGCGACTACATCAGGCTTGGGGCTTGTGCTTGGAGGGACTCAGCCAGTGGTGTTGACTGGTCACTGCGACTCTTCCTACGCTGACGACGTGGAGACTCAGCGTTCGACTCAGGGTTACTGCTTCAGTCTGGGAGCTGGTGCTGTGTCGCGGAGGTCTACACGGTCGTCGTCTGTGGCTACTTCCAGTGCAGAGGCAGAGATCTACGCTGGTGCCATGGCGGCACAGGAGCTTCGCTGGTTGACCTTCTTGCTCGCTGACCTTGGTGAGCGGCCTCGCTCTGCACCGACCTTGTACGCTGACAACAAGGCCATGATCCTCCTGTGTCGAGAGCCTCGACTGGAGAGCAGAGTGAAGCATATTGACGTGAGGTACTTCCTCCTGCGAGAGCTGCAGCGACGCGGTCAGGCACGCCTGGACTTTGTGGCCTCAGAGGCCAACACTGCAGACGTCTTCACCAAGGCCTTGGCGCTTGGTGACCACCACAGGTTCTGTGTGCAGTTGGGGCTTGTTGAGGTAGGCCCTCGGTTGGTGTAGTCCTGTTGCTTGCTCTGCTTGTTGTGCTTTGTATTTATATCCTAGTGAACTCTTGAACTGGCCTTGTGGCCGCTTGCTTGCGCTCGGAATTTGTGTGGTGTCCTTGAGATCCACCCTGAGCTTGCCTTGGTTCTTGGTTTGACTGGTCTTGTGACCGTTTGTTCATCTTGCTTGCTTTGATGCCCCTCACTTAGCCTATGGGGGTGTGTCAAATGTTGAACATTGATATGATAGGCTATAGTGAGTTGCACTCTAGGGGGTACAGCTTCTAGGGTTGCTCATTTGTACACCATTCGTTTCTATTCCAATCATTCCGTTGTTCGCTAACTTTGAGATGCTGGCAGCGAGGCTCGGGCTAGTCCCGAAGCGTAGGCCGACACGGCCGGGCCAGCAGTGCGAGGTTTGGCAAAACAGTGCGCGCGAAGTTGGCGAAGTCCCGTTAGCAGTAACGGGCGAACAACGGCTGTTGCTGTATGCGATGTAGTCGGGCTCCGTAAGGAATGCCGAGAAAATTCCTTACTTATTCACACAGTTGACCTTGTAAGGGCGACGTCAGGTTGTACAACCTCCTGTACGCCTACTGCGGTTAACTTTGTTTCAACACGGTGCAGAGCGGTACGAGGCGAGAACCGCTTTTCACCGTGCTGGACCATCCTGAATCACAGAACAAGAACTGTAAACGCATGAGAATTGTATAACCTGACTTCGCCCTAAGGCACCAGTAATACTTGCTCAAGTGAGTTTATTCAGTATCCAGTATATAATATAGAGTATTACAACATGGGTTACTGTGCTTATTGGAGTCCAATTGTGGACAACATAAAAGAAACAAAAAATGAGCTAAGAGAATAGGGGAGGAAATTGCATCGTCATTCGCAAGCTTGAGCACAATCCCAAGTATAAGAGCCGCATCAAACGAATCCATTCCAGTTTAATATCCATGGAAGCAGGGCGGATTTATCTGTCCCTTGAGGTTGAACAGGGGCGGTTCCAGTGAAGTTGGTCATGCTTTGTGATGTGCTGAGGGGAGCAAGGGCGGTGGACTGCATGGCATTGAAGGACATGGAGGCTGGCATGGAGTCGGAGATGGTTGCAGGCGACGACGATGTTTCTGGAATAAAATCTGGAAGAAAAACCCCTGGAATCTTTTGCAATTGCTCAAACTTCTCTTGAAGAAGCTTGGCCACGGAAGGATCCTCCTTGACCTGAAACGAAAACAATATGGGTGTCAAACACGGACCCAGTGCAAAACAAACGGCGAATGGACACAGAATCTGAACTGTGCATGTTGGAAATTTCAGGCTTGAAATGGCGTCAGTGCGTACCGGGAGAACAGAACCAATTTGTACGGCTCCACCAGGAACTGGGATCACTGCGATGGTCTGCACACGGAATGGAAGATAGCAATGAGAGGCGCTGAGGTGATCATGACCCAAACACAATGCAGGAGGACATCGGTAAAGAGCGTGGGGACATGGGCTGTTGAAACGGCAGGTGGACAGTATGGAGGGTGGGTGAGAGCAGGGAATAGGCACCTTGATGCCAGACGCGAAATGTTCATCCCATCCCGGCGGGTGTTGGTTCTGCACGGAGTCGAGGGCATCTGCCCTGTAGTACTTAGAATCATTGTAGACCCACTCGGCTGCCTCCGCTGACACTGCTTGCCCCATCAACCTGCAGAGAACGAATTTGGTGCATCAGTAATTATGGATAAGGCTGAAAACGAACAGAAAAGGATGCACGAAAAAATAAGCCGAAACCAACAAAAGCTGAAGTCACAGAAAAGAAACGGAAGAGGCTACTCGTCCAAAGGAACTCACCCTTCTCCATAATTGTATATCTGGTATGAAAACCTAAGGAAGCTGGCGTGCAACAGCTTCCAGTCGTATGAGAGCTGCTCCAGCGCGGGATTCTGTGCGCTGCAGCCAGCAGCGCCGCCTACAGCTGCGTCCCTTAATCGCTCCATCTGAGCGTCAAGTTTTTTCAGTACAGCTTGCGGAACGAGATAACCGTCCTCCCACATCAGAACCCTGCTCAACAGGAGAAGCGGACGCGAAAGACATTGTGCAGAACGGAAACGGAACGTTAGAAAAATAAGGGAAGGGTCGTCGCCAGAGGTGATGCCGTGAGTCGAGGGGAGGATGAAAAAAAAAAAGGAAAATTGGGAAACCTGACTCACCATTCGTCGTCTTCTTGCCGTTTCATGATGCGATTTCCTCTTGAAGGCACACTGTAAGTAGGGGAAGAAAAACAGGGGAAAAGAGGACACAAATATCGCCCATACACGTCGGAAAATTCTAGACACTGCACGCAACCAGCAATAGAGCATCACATTATATGCCGTGAACAAGTTTCATGTCGACATTGGCAAGCCACTACGGTTTTGGGCGAAAACGCGATTTCGTCAAGAAACCCTAGAACGTTTATAACCGCTGTATCCCTACCTCTGCTGTGTCCGGGGTACTGCGCGGCGTTTCAACCTCCAAAATACCGAGTACGTCCAGCCGTTTTGTAAGCAAATGTCTTTAAGAACCTGTCTTAACAGATACATCGGCTTCTGAGCTAAAACCATTCTCGAACTCTTGGCCGTGGTAGCCATTATTTGGAAACAATTAGAATACTGGTTACTGAAAACCCTAGCTTGAAGACTGGAAACAGATTCTCGCTGCACGTCAGGTCGGAATAGGGAGTTGTAGAAACAAACCGCGATGTCAGGACTCAGGAGTTGCTTGGAGGAACCAATACCCACAGTAATTCTAAGACTTCAACTGAACTTCCTCCTAAGCCAATGTGTTTCTCTATCGTCCTTCATTGAGAAAAAACACATTCGTCTGGGTGTACGGTACGGTGGCCCAACTTCTTGCTCCTCCTGAACAACGACGCAATGGCGGAAAGTGGAACCATGACAGTCGTCATCAACAAAATCTCAGAATCTTCGAAGCATGAGGTAACGATGGCTGTTTGAGGAACAGTCAATTGGCGTCAGGTTTTCGTTGCCTGCCAACACATCCTGTCCCGTGCCATGCCATCTCATCAGGCCGGTCAGAGACACCTCAAGCACAGTTGAGGCAGCTGCGGACTTGAGGCATCACACTGTTTCGGTTGGCTGGGAACAATTGATGAGTGGGATGACGAGCTGGATGGAGGTTTGACCTGGCTTCGGAAGAAAGCTGGAGGGTAGCACTTCGGTTTCGACAATCCCAGCTTGTTGTTCTGCAACCGTCCAGCTTGTCCCAACCCGAGCGCACCCAAAGCTGTCTCTCTGAACAAAGCAGTGGGCCCAATTCGCGGTTCTGGTTTTTCCACCACCGAGTGGAAGGCCGACAAGCACTGATAGACTTCCTGGGGAATCAGGAAATACTTTGAGCGTTGCAATCATTGCCGCACCATGTGAAAGTAGGCCTGCCTTTGCGGCTGCAAGCCTTCAGCGCCGAAAGGTGGGCACCAGGAATCCCCACAAATGATAGAGAAAACGAAGAAACAGACCAGTTCAGACAAGAGGAGCTGGGCTTCATGTGTGAATACTGGTGGTGGGAATGCCTTTTGGTATTATTCCAAACCCGAAACCCTGCTACTTTTAAAACTAAAACCTTTCACACAACCTGCTAGGCCAGGTGCGATTACCTACCTTGCTCGGATTTGGCTGGACTGCTGCAAAACAAATTGAGCTCGGTTTGTCACGAGCAGTTTACGCGGTGATGACGAATTCCAGCGTCATAGGAATCTGTGCTTGTTCAGATCCAAAGGGTTATTATACAGATAGTCAATATTAAGGGCGCGCTATCACAAATGGTCATGGGGTTATCACAAACGGTCATTGAAACGGGCAAATCTATCACAGATGATCATGATACTATCACGGACAGTCACTCGCTGCCCCGCATTTCTATCACGAATGGTCACTCGATGAAACCCTCAAGGAAAGTTGAAACTCCCTGAGGAATAACTGTGGAGATTTTGAGGAATCTTAATTTCGATTGCTTGTTACCTCTCGCATGATTCTCGCCTGAAATCTAGGACTGAAGAAAAACAAACCCCTATAGGATGACACACCCTTTGGGAAGCATCAACCCTAAACACCATGCGAAATGTGTTTAGGGTTGATTCCTCCCGATGAAAATCCCATCCGAAGGGGTTTTAGTTTTTTCCTTGGAACAAAAAGAAACTTCGAGTTTCACCCGTCTAAAAGTGCTGTTCTTAGGACATTATGCATAAATCAAACAGTGGACAATTGAGCTAACTTTCCGATGTTGCCAAGAAATTTCGCGAGACTTTTAACGATTTCGCAAGAGTGTCACGAAAAGTATTTCGTCAGTAACAACGTCTCGCAACACTACAGACAAAATGGCGCCACGAGACAGAAACAGTGCTGCAATCAAAACGACAAATTAAATTAACGCGCTAATAGTCCCTAAATCGCAACAGTGTGATAACGCATGGGGAAGCATTTCAACTTTCGGGCGGGCGTTTCTTTCAGTGACTATTCGTGATAGCATCATGGGGCGACGAGTGACTATCCGTGATAAATCTGTGACCATCCATGATAGATTCGCCCGTTTCAATGACCGTTTTCGATAAACCTTCGACCACTTGTGTTAGCGTGCCCTGTTTAGTGACTATTCGTACAATAACCCAAATCCGAAGCCCCACATCCCTACTACATTTCACCCACCACCTCAAATACTGCGTGTTCTATGAATGACCGTTCCTGGACGTCTGGAGCTTGACATCGCCGGACGTACGAAGCGGGCGACACACTGTAGCTTGTCGAACTCTTCACGAAAGTGGCGACATCAATCTTCAGACATCACATTGCCAGTCGAACTCTCGCGATGTTTCTTTGGCATCCGCATTCAGGAACAAGTAACGCCCCACGCTAATTTCCCGCCAACAGTCCGCCGAAGCCTCGCTATGAACACGCCGTTCCTGAAACGACGTGCATACGTGTCAACAACTTTTGTGGTTGATCACTTGCCAGGGTGTCCAACTTCGCGAAATATGAATGTGAAATGAACACTCTTCTGTAGGTGCATTGCGTGCACTGTGTTTCATATCCTGCTCAGCAAGTAGGAAAATATCCTGAATTTTCACAGTTCTATCTCGAAATACCCGAAACTCTCGATTCTGAGGTTATACAGGGCCCTGTAATCACAGCATTCTGAGGCAGTCACATTGCCAAACATTCAAGAGTCGCTACATTTTCACCTTCAACTATGAAGTTAGTTCCTGAAAAAATGTTAACATGAATGAAGTTAGTGAGCCTGGGTATCAGTCTGGGTAGTTAAACTGAGGACCCGCCTAATGCTGTCCTTCACGGTCAGCATGCTTTTTATTTCCGCCAACCCCCAAACCCCAGATCAGCCAACCCATTATTTTTCCGGCGAAGCCTTGCACCACTGGTACCTTGTGGGATCACAGCTTTCCCACAGAGTTTTCAGAACTCCCACTCTGTTTATCTGACGACAAACCCACCGTTGCTTCTAGAATACACTCATCGAGTCCCTGCACTTATAGGTTGAACCTAGCTCACAACTTTGACATGGCAGGTCCCCCAGGACACGTCGACTGGTCCTAAAAGTCCGCGGAGGCATGGTCCCGTATTGGTTAGATTAAATCTTTCGCTGACACAAAGCTCTGACGAGTGGAGATTTGAGCACATTCACCAGTAGTGATTTTGTTGGATGCTGAAACTTGTCAGAGCATTGTCAGATACCTTGACAATGACATTGGCCAATACATACCATACCCCAAAAAGACCTGGAACCATGTAGGTTTCATCCCGCACACGACTGTTAAGTTTAAGGTTACATATGGTCGTAACCAGTTACAGCAAAGCATAGAGATGCTAGAATATTGTCAACACAAACCAACAGCCCAAAGGGGTACTTAGGAAACACGTTATTTCCTTATCAAATGGATAACCACCAGCACGGCTGGGGAGTGTTGGGAACAAACAATCTTAAGCGCCTCTGTCGTGTCGAAACACCAAGGCACAAGCGAAGCAGAGCATATCGAGGCACCAGCGAGTCAACCCTCGGAGGTTGAAGTAACCGCTGGAGGTTACGCGAAAGTCAAAGGTCAGCGACCTTTGACTTGACAAATGCAGCGCGACAGCAAGGACACACAACTGACTCGACATTGAGCAGTTGCCCGAGTCGCACTGTATCGAACCGCAACAGTAAAACAGTTTAATTATATCTCTTCGTATTCTTTGTACTCTTATATAAACCTTTGTACTTGCTTGTTTTAATCAACTTACTTTGCCCTCACATACTAGCGCAAGGTGGTTCAAGGACTTCATTTAAACGCTTCCGCTACTACATCACTCTACCCAGAGTTTAACCCTACCAAAGATCCTAAGGGGCACTCAGCCCAACATGGTATGAGAGCTGGTTAGGGTTAAAATTATTTCTCCTTAACACCTAATACACCAAGAGACATGTCTACCAGAAAGGAGAGGAGCTCCTCCAACGGCTCTCCTGGTACTACTCCTACTCCACCTCCTGCCTCTGGCCTACAGACAGAGGAAGGCACAACAACGAGACCGGCAGCTGGGTCTACTGAAACACCCGCAAACCAAGGCGCGGGCTTCGATCCAAGCATGATGGAGAAGTTCTTCTCCTTCATGTCCTTCTACGAGCAGCATCAGCAAGGAGCACCTGCGCAATCAAACAACAGCAACAACAACAACAACGTGACGCCCATGAGTCTCGATGGCTCATCCTACGCACGCGGGAATCAACAACAGCAACCTACCTTCGCTCCGTACGAGCCCCAGCGCGGCTCCGTCAGCTTCATGCCACAACCACAACCTGCACCGGGACAAGAGAGAACGCTGGACGCACTACAAGTTCAGTCGCAGTTCGCGCACGTTCTAAAACTGCAAACGACAAAACCCTTCGACGGGAAGGATTTCTTTACCTGGTCGTTCGAATTCGAGCTGATGATGGAAGGAGCGCAAATCCTTGGCTTCTTCGACGGGTCCCTGCCATACCCAACAAACGGCACACAGTATGAGAAGCAGCAGTACACCTATCAATCGATGATGGCATACACGATACTACTGAGGAACATCACTCCAACTCAACAACAAAACATACGGTCTTACCGAGGCTACGGCAACTCCGCGGAGCTCGCGTACAATCACTTGAAGAGCCTGTATCAAGCAACAGACAGTGTAAACCAAAGTCGGTTAATGGCGCAGCTGACAACAATCGAAATGAAACCAGGCGAGAAGGGAATGGCGTATATCAGTCGCTGCCGCGAGCTGCACGACAAGCTTCTTCGATGTGGAGGATCGATTTCAGAGGACGCCTTCGTCACGGTTGTCATCGGCGGTCTTGGTCCTCACTGGCGCTCCACTCGCGCCATACTACGAGCCCACGGGAAAATTTCTGAAGCAGCACTTTGCGCCGAAATCCACGCCGAGCAGCAAGACATGGACCTGCAAGAAGAACGACACAAGAGAAAGGTATCAGTGCCCGAATTCGCGTTTCACACTCAACGGCGCCACAACAACAACAACAATTGACCGAAAATCGTACCTCCGTT